CTGAACCATAATCCTTTATATAAACAAATGAAACAGTTTGATTTTCAGAAGCATAGAAGTCCTTTAAGATCTTCCTACAGTCAATGATAGGAGAGGTTCAGCACGATCACTGTCTAAAATTACTGGCTCTTTTTTTGTCTTAAAAAGTTAAGGAAGACATAAAAGATTATTGTATAAATCAGAATTCAAATCATTAAGGAAAAGAAGAATATAGGTACGTTCTCTAATAAAAAGAATCATGATCACCAAACAAGGCTCAGATTCCAAACAAATTTCTGTAAAGATGCTCAAAAACACTGATTCTAAAACCTGAAATGTCCTTTTCACAAATAGATTACTACTTTCGCTTCATTCTACAATGTGTCCGTCAGTGCATTAGCACGTGTTTTTTGGAATCTGGTAACAATATATACATACAACCCTCTCACCCCCTGGCCAAAGGTCACTTGAGTTTTACAGACTGTAATAAAACAATTGCATGTACCAGCTACGCAGTCTGGAAATGCAGCTTGTATGGCTTGTACACGTTTCCACCTTTCACTCACAATAATCCCTTTGTGTAACATTATCCCTATTGTCTGGATACAACGTTAAAATCTTCATTCAAAAAAAAAAATTTAGAAGCTTTTTTGGAAGCTTTCCAAGGACAAGCAACCAGTTTAACAAAGCCAGCCTTGCAACACCTTGAGACTGCTCCAGGTACTTAGCATTGAAAAATTAAATTCAAGCTATTTCCGAGAAAACGATTTTCTTCAAACATCATACATGACTAAAAGCGTCACCAACACAAATCGTACCTCACTGAACTAATAAAAGTATTGATGTAGGAATGGCTCGCTTGTTCAGCAAGCTGCAATCACGTACATTCTGAACAAAACACGCAAGGTCGAAATTCCTCACCCACAGGCACGTAACAACTTTACCCCGAAAAGAAGCCGAGAGAAGCTAGGTGGTCTTTTCCTGGAAGTGCAGGAAGAGAGGAAGGGAATAAAGTGGCAGGATCCAGTTCCCTGTCCCAGGAAGGCGAAACAACAGACTAATTTCAATCATGCCAGCTGAGACTGGGGATTCAGGTAGGTAGGAAAACACTGATTTATACAGCCAGTTTCATTATACATTTATACTTCACTTTCAGGAGTACCATTAAAATCTGCTGATTCTATCAAGCTAATGCACTTTTTGCTATGTAAGAGGAAACACTGTATCTAGCTTCATTTAAGTAACGACTGATCCTCTCTACACGTTCTGCCTACCAGTGAGATAGATTTATTTTTTAAACTATTTTTAGATTTTGCTCAGTGACTCACCTTAAACACTACTTGGCTGTGAAGTGCAGTTTGATTAGACACAGAGAAGAGGCAAGTTTTACAGAAGTTATTTTGACATGCAGATTATTTGCAGTTCATTAAAGAAAGTCACCACAGCAAATAACTACTTCAAGACTTCAGAATTAGTGTCTCGTTCTCTTGATTCCTACGTTAGGAAACAAGCATCTCCGCCTTCTCAAAGCCCAGCTGGTTTCATCTATCGGAATAAGCTATTGACTGGACTGAATCAGTCAAATATAACGAGCTACAGGTGGGTTCTTCCTGCAATCTGCTAAAGAGGACAGTACGATCAAAACCTGCGTTAGCATCTCAGAAACTCAGGTTTTACATGCTCCATGATTCCCACCCAATGAGTTGCTAAATAAATTTATAAGTAGAAGTGCACTGTTTAAAGTATTCCATTTTAAATCAATAAGTTTAGGCTTTAAAACTGAAACTTGCAATAATACTGTTTGTTTTTTTTTAAATAAGCACGTATACACATTTTTATTATTGTTTTTACTTTTTTTTAGTTAATAGTTTTCCTCCATCCAGGAGGAAACATCAGATATAGAAAATGGAAACAATACTTTCATCCACAAGAAAAATCATTCCAGGTTTTAGAGCTAGAAAGTTTTAAGCTACTCCAGTTATAATGCAGGAGCTGCCTTTCCTTCGTCAGCTTCAGCCCTCTACACGTCCTTCACACATCCTTCTGAATTCTCTTCCTCTTCACAACTGCCAGTCTCCACTGTCCACCATCTCACAACACAAGATGCTTTCAAACACCCTGAACTGCTTTCCACGACCCCTCTTCTGAGCTGTTGTCTACCCCGCTACCTCTATGCTCTGCTTCTCAAGAAGCAGAAAAACTGATCCAAAAAAAACAAACAACAAAAAACAAACCACCTGTGTTACAAATGAATAACAGTTTGCAGATCCAAACATACGGCTTATTCTTAGACTGCTCCAAGTGAGGTACTATTTATTAAGTCTTAATTTCACCACTCTCCATTTATCACAAGGACTAACAGAGTTTAGAATCAGTATAAAGGCAAGTCCGCAAACAAAGATAAATGAAACTGCTCAAGTAGATCAAAATTGATGCAGCCTTCTATTGAGTCTAGTCCCAAACACATATTTACTTCAAAGGAAAACATTTGAAAACTATCAATTTCCAATGCAACATCACCACCACCAAAAAAGATGGTCTACTTCCTTCTCCTGCCTGCTACAGCATCCAACTTTCAGAATTTACTGAAGTGCAGCATTCTGCCTTGCGCATATGCGTATGTGCATCCTTATTTACAGGAGAGTACATAAACACACCTACACGCATAATTACGCTTTTAATTACGCTACACTTTTAATTTACACTAATTTCAAAACATTTTCAGAGTGTCTAAAGCTCTCTTCAAAGGAATTACACAGTCACTTCAAAGTTTCTTACTCAACTTGGAAAGAAGTTAGCCCTTAACACCTTGCACAGTCAATACCAAAACGGGACCCCAGTGTCTTGCCAAAGTTGTCTCGCTCCTTCACCCTCCTATCAACTGGCATTTACGGTGGTCTTGGAAAGCCATTACTGCTTCGCCACTAGATAGTGGCAATAATTTAACAGGAAATTCAATGTTTAACATTAAGTGATCATTTTAAATCTGAAGGTAAACATAAGTTTTATAGTTCAGTTCCGGATATCCCAAATTAATGGCACGCCATCTCCCCGTGTGGTCTAATTGTTTTAATGTAACCGTAACAGTAATTGTTTATTTTAATGACTGTCAGCTACTGATGATAAGGTAATGATTTTTCAAACTAGAAACGTGTTGGACAACTTTTTGCAAAACCCACTGAAATTTCTTCATGAACTTCCTCAGACAACCCTTTGACTGGAAGGTATGATGGACTCTCCAGTATGAACTTCAATAACGTAAAACCAGATAGTAAATAAAATTAATCTGAACAGACTATTAAACTGAACACACACTGGGAAAACGGCTGATGGTACAATAAACTAGAAAAACATACTGAAAACCACAACAGGCTGCCCAAACATTACACAAAATGTAAGGCTCTGTTCACACCCACAAAGCTTCAGCTTCGGCACAGCTCTTTTCTGGTATCGTTTACTATAGCTCCCAAGTAAGATAAGCTATAATGTCAAAAGACTTTTTTCCACGATAACTGTTTTTATGTGAGAGCCTCTGCTAACACGACTGTGTCAGCAAAAAAACCCCACCACACCCTTAACTGAAAAAGCTGTAGCTGGAAAACGTAAGCGGATAAAAAGCCCTTCTCTTGGAAATAGTCATTTCCAAATATAAAGAGACAGTGAGAGAGAACATCATAAATTACTAGGGGAAAAAAATTCATAAAATTCAAATCACAACTTGTAATAACTGAAGCATTATCCTTACAATACGTGCGTGTATACATATACACACATACTACATATTCTGATAAACCACTGCAACCAATGGGAAACACTAAACCAATTCAAAGCATACCATATTCATCACATGGTACATAGTATATGTGTACACATATACTAACTATATACAGGTTGTTTGTAAAATAGTTTTTAATCGGGAAACCTGCTTTATAAAGTTTAGTGAATTTACAGAAAAGGAACATTTGTTTCTGAAAGCATTTTCTGAAATCAGTATTAATATTTTGGGTTACTTTTATCTTTCAAAATCCCCTTCCTCCCCACCCTCTTCTGCCCCTAGAGCTAGTTTCACCACTGTGTTAACCTGAGAGGGAGCAGCGTTACAAAGTTAAATTTAAGAAAAGCAGAAAATTTTAGAACAGGAATG